CACTTGTCTTTTATTCTACATTTGTTACACACACATATATATAATAAATAAATAAAATTATTATAATATTAATATATATAATATTATACCGTTTTTTATTGAGCTTTGTTTTTTAAAAATAACTGGTAAGAACACCGGATTATAAATCTTACTGTTCTTTCTTATTTTTATATATATATATATATATATATATTCTTTCTAGTGATATGTTTTTTTAAAAATGCTTTGAAAAGCATTAACTCTATTGCTATTAAAAATTTGACTTGTCAAGATTTTCTTTTGATTTAAATCCTATAATAAAACTCAACCAGTAACACGTGATTTGTAAAATACCAATGTTCAAAATATTATTGAAGCTGGTTGGTGATAAAAAAATTGGTTTATAAGTGTAATATGCACTCAGCTACAATCCTGGATTGGGTACATTGGATTCAGTTTTACTATAATGCTTTTGAAAGCAATATTTGTTCAAAATTTAGGCTGTTCACTGGTCTAAATTTTCTTTATATCAAAAGGCATTCATTAGCAAAAGTTTGGCCTCTCCTCTCATCACCATTCCTGTGTGCTGATATCAATTGAATGTGATATTTATGTATTCACAAAGCAACCTAAATAAATAAATAAAAAGAACAAATTTTATAAGTAATTAGCCTAAAATATCAGGTTCCTATATTATTCTTAAAATGATAGCAAATCATTGCAGAATTTAAGAGATTTCTGGCACTACACTTCAAAATATACATCAAATGTTAATTGCTTGAAGTGTGAATCTAAGCAACTGTTCCACTTTTTCACAGGTGGTTAGTGGGGGGTGTATATGTGTTGGTTAAGAGACATCAAGGCTACTATTGAAGTGGAGGAGGAATGAGTGAGAGAGAGAGAGAGAGAGTGAGTGGGAAATATCCCCATTTTTGTGGGATTAAACAATGAGAAAAGCCATGCAACCACTAGAGTATATCCTAGTTGCTGGACGAAACGTGTACCGTTTTCACCAACCTGGATTTTATGGTGGAAGTTTTGGTTCTCTTATTTTTTTCGGTTTTCTTTTTCAAGTAGGGAGGGAGGGGTGGTGATCAGTTTGGAATCCCTTCAGCTAATTGCCTGCATTTAAAAATAGATGAGAAAGATGTCGCAAGTCAGAGAGAGAGTTACAGACTGCAAGCAGGACGTGAAGAACCAAGAAAGGATGGATTAAAAAATGGGCAGAGATTAACAGGAACAAAGTGGAAAAGTACAGGAAGAGGAAGTTGGGGTGGCAGGGAAGAAACAGGAATGAACCTTGCTGTTTTGAGGCAAGGAGACTGGCTGCACCATGAAAAATCACATCATATGAGTGTGTTGTCTACAACTGGCTTGGACACCTGAAGAAGGAGGTAGGAAAATGGTCAGAAGCGGGGGGGGGGTTGCAATATTACATGGTAGCACATTTACACATGACAAGCTGTAATACTTTACATGATGGAAAGGTTACAATCAGAAGCAAAAACAAAATAAAAAAGCAATAATAACACAACACAAAAAGCACAAAATCAAAAAAAAAAAAAAAAAAAAAAATCAAAACAAAACAAAAAACAAATAAAAGACATAAAAAGCCAAGAGCGTATGAGGTTTTTTAAGAGTATTTTTTTTCTAATTAATGCCTAATTTTCATTTAAGTTTTTCATGTACAAATGCATTTCTGGTGAAGAAATATTACATAAATATATTTAACTCAAGATTAAAAGTACCAGTGTGTGTGTATTAAAAGGTATAAAATTTAATTTAACTAAAGATAAAAAATTATGTTAACATGGTTGAATATTAAAAAATTATAGTGATAAGCCCAAATGTATAAGTATATTTTGTTTAAACTATTACATCTTATTTGGGTTTCAATATTGAAGCTATATATATATATATATATATATATATATATATATATATATATATATATATATATATATATGTGTGTGTATCAAAAATACCTTTACAAACTTTGGGGACAAATTCCTCGCACCAAAACAAGGACAAAAGTCCATATAGGAATATGTCTGCAAATCCATTGTTTTTGAGTTATCAAGTTTAAAGATGTGGTTAAATGTACAATCCCAAAATACTTTTACAAACTTTGGGAACGGGTTCCTGACACCAAAACAAGGTAAAATGTCCATATAAACACATGAAGGATTTGTAGACTTATATGGACTTTTGTCCTTGTTTTGGTATGAGGAACATCCTGTATATATATTATATTCAAACCATTATAACAAAGACATTATAAATCTAAGTAGACAAATCTATTTCCAAACGAGTCTTTATTCAACCATATAGACAATTCAAGAATATTTTATGATGCAAATTAAAATTTGGTAAACTTATCACGAACATTAAATTAAAGCTGGAAAGAGTACAAAAAAAAAATAAATAAAAATATCTGCTGGGATATCTGACTAGAATACACTGAAAACATGAAACAAATATTTTGTAGAAGTTTTCCTGGACATTTCAAAACCTAAAATAGTTTTGACATATTCAATAGGATTCAAAAGACTGATTTGGTTGCTTATTAGAATCATTTAATACATTTTGTATCTGCTATTCTCGAGTCTTTTCTTGTATATTATAGCATTTCATTCATCATAAAAATATGTATCAAATAATATCAAGAGGAAAGTATTTTAGAATTAGCATGTATTTTTTCTGAACTAATATTCTTGTACTTTAGAAGTCTGAAACTACCAGCTTCCAAAATTGCATCCCCACCCCCAAGTCATAAAAATTCATCCTGCTGGATGATACCTGCAGAAGCATCAAACAAATCACAAGGCATATACATGTTAATCATCTAAAAATTGAGCAAATGAAGACTATCTGTGGGGAGAAGGGAAGGCAGTTTACCTAAACTCTGAAGATCTGGTCACCATCTAAACTGGTCAAAATGAGCAGTTTAGATGGTGAACAGTTCATAATTTACATGATAAAAGATACTATATTGCTGGTTAATTTAAACACATTGCCACATTTGCTGCTTTGCAAAAAAGTTTTTTTTTTTTAATTTCCAAATAGTTTTATTTCCTTTTTTAGTGATTATATAGTCATACAGTTTATAGCTGAAAATGAAATTCCAATTTTAATACCATTTGTTACACCCCATTTCTAAATCTAACAATTATAACAATTCTTCCCCTCAAGGCATTGTTAAAGGACATGACAGTTATTTCTTACATTTTATAACAACTGAATAATTGTCACATGTTTATTAAATGTCAGAAATCAGTTAAAATAATGGTATTTTACTGAGGTATATGTGGGCAGTATTTCTGCTGCACACAGTATTAATTCAAAGCATTTAAAAGATAATGGTGATGGCAAAATTAAAATCTTTGTGGAAATAGTTCTTTTTTTTATTAAATAACTATAGTTAATAGCAGTTCAGCATAGAAAACCTTTTTATCTTACTATTAGTGATCTTGTCTCTTTTTTTGAAGCTTTGTGCCTCACAGTTTATCTAAATATTTATGAAATGAAAAATCAAAATACAAGTATTAGAAATCATTGAAATTATAAAGGAAGCTATCAAAAATGAAATTATAACCAAGAAACTTAAGAAAATGGCAAAGTCTCAAAAGAGACTTGATAGTTTATCGTTAACTTTGAAAAAAAAAAAAAAAAAAAAAAAAAAAATGAAGCTACGAAAATAAAATAGAACAAAAGGAAAATGTATTTTGTGATCAATGGAAAAAAAAAAATGAAAAAAAAAAGCATTAGCAGTTTTAGACTTAATGAAAAGTTTACATATAATGTTGTTCACTAATACCAATTCATAAAATAGTAGATATACAGTAATGAAAAAAAATTAACCATTGAAAGATGAAATCAGTGTTTGAGTAAAATTCTATTTGTTGTACAACTTTGTAATAAATATAGAGAATAAAAATAATAATGAACACTAATTACTTTCAGGTCCCATTAAATACCAAAGAAATATTTAATGCTTAGTATTTTCAGTTTGATGAATGTAAAAGTAAAATAAAAAATGATCAAATTTTTAATGGTGAACAAAAGAAATTCTGCCAAAAAATTCAAAATAAAAATCAATTACATATTTTATTGACTATTAAAGTAAATGTAATGAAAGATTGATTTGCTTATTATTTAAAGTGTTTTAAAATTTGGTGTTGTTAAATGCAGATTTCTGAGTGAGACTGAAAATGAAATTTGTAGCTTGACAGCAAAAATTAGCAATGATACTTTATTTTTATGTGACTAGGGTGAGAAAATTGAATAATTAAAAATAAAAAGAGTTTGATCAAAACTTAGAAAATAAAAATACCTTATCTATAATCAAGAATAAAGAATTATACATTTATTTGCATAGATATTGTCTTAGATTCTGAGAGGAGAAGTCATCATCAGCTGTTACATTCAATTTTTATTCAGCAGCAGAAACATTGATAATGCTAAGATAAGAATATTAGTGTGAATAAATTGTAGAACAATTTATTTGCATAAGTTTATTCAAACTTTTATATTCAGCATTAGGATTTTGGTAGAATGTGATTGAACATAATTTTTAAGCCAAGTAAGTTAATATGACATTGAATGGTAAAAAAGGTAGGATTATAAATGAAAAGCAGTCATTGAATAAATGATTGAGACTTTAACACAATAATTTAACATTGTAAACTGAAATAGCACCATTATGGATTTACAAGATCAACTGCCATTTTTATTTTATATACAAAAGCTTCTACCAGTCATCATTATCCCCTTGACATTTGTAATTGTTTAAAAAAAAAAAAAAAAAAAAGAGTCAAGTATATTCTTTAAATATTTTAAATGCCAATTATTTTTGCCAGGAAATCATGACAAAGAAAAAAATGATATGAAAAGATGAAATGAAATAATTAGAGGGAATTGGGAATTAAAAAAAACAAAAAAAATAAATTGTATTCTCAAGGACTGAAATCTTGATAATAAATAGCAAATAGTAAATGAGAGAAAGAAATAATTATCCTTACCTGACGTTCCATAGAACAGTTCTGGTCTGTCCAGGATGTCAGTATCATGCAGAAAAGTATTGATGCCATCATCGCCATACATGTATGACTCATTGTTATCTTCCATTTGGCGTGACTCTACCATTTCCAGCCAATGAGAATTATGCCATCGAAACTTTTCTAACTGAATTTTTTTGGCCCATTCTTCATCATATTCCTGCAATAGGCAATTGAATGGAGTGCATAGAGTTTTGGTATAATGACATTCTCATGGGTTATATACTATTATAATTGTTATGTGTTGACAAATTTAAAGTTAATAATTATTCTATTGGAAATATAAACATGCATGCAAAATAAGAAATCTCATTGTCTTTTGTCTGTAAGGTTGTCAGGAAGAAAACAAAAAATGGTTTAAAGAAATGTTTTACTCTTTTATCATTTTACTCACTTACTCCTTAGAAATAATATCTGAGAAATGTCAGAAAAACTTAATCTGTGTAGAAGCTTTAAAATCAGGAATGCCTGATCATGTGTAGAGGGAGAAGAGAAATCACCAATTTTTGTGGGATAAAGTTAAAATATTTGACAGTAGCAAAGGAGAGAAAGAATAAAATAATTGAGTATATCTGCATACAAATTATTCTCAAATCATGCAATCAACAAGCCAAGTATAGGCAATCAATTATATATGGGAGCCAGTGAACAGTAAAAATATGCTGGATTTGAGGTTCTAAAAATATGCATTGGATGTGATATATTTGAGAAGGAATGTGAATGCCACAAAAGAACAAGGTTCAAACACACATCCAAAGAAAGCTTGAAATGTACAATGTTTGAAATGTCTTAACAAGAAATCACTGAAAGAAAAGAGAGAAAAATACATTACTAGTAAAATGCATTATCTAAAGTCATTAACATAAAAAATAATCAATATTGCATATTTGGGAATTATTTAGATAGATATTTCTGTTTGATTGGATCATTATCTTAATTATTTGCTATATTATCATGTAAAATTGTTAAGACATACTTACTGCAATGATATCTAAAGTGTTATCACAGACCTTGCGGATTTCAGTATTTTTATCATTCATTAGGTCAATCAAATAGGCAGGAGCTTCTGTGAGTTGCATATTAAAGAAAACATAAGCTAACAAAACATTAGAGCTAAATTTCACATGGCTATGTTTTCAATGATCAATTCATTTTTATGAATAAAAGGTCAACCAGTATATAAACAGACGGACATACAAATGTAACAAAATTAAAAATGGCTGCTTGTAAAGATAAATAATAATATTAATTGAACAGACTTTCCTGGCATATCAAAAAATATGTCAATTAAGTACTATTTCTTTTCTTTATGTGCCATGTCACCTCTGGACATTAGCAATCATGGCTCTCCACAACTTCCTGTCCTTTGAAGCTCTTAATAAGAGTTGAAAGGGAGAGCTGATCTGTTAGTTTGATGTGGCTGAAGTCATCCCAAGTTTCACATACCTACCCATGCTGACCGAACAAGTGAAGCCCTGAATAAACACCTAAATATACTGAAAACAGAGTTCAAGTTCCCATTTCATGACACAGCATTTATTTACACTTTTCATTTCCTTATCTGCTTACTGTAGGCCTTTCCCAATTTTTGGTGCATGCTGACATGAATGAGAATGGAAATGCAATATACACATGTTTCAGTACTGCTCCTCGTTTAACTAAAAGCAGTGGCAAACAAAATTTACCCTTGTAAATGACAAGCCGTCATTGTTAGTAGAGGTGAAAAGAAACAGAATAAATTTCAACAGGGTGAGATTTTCATGTGTTTTTATATTTAGTAACAAAAAAGAGAAAATACACTAGTATGCATGTAAATGAAAGAAAACATTAAAAGTTAGCAATTATGTTGGTGACGTGTGTGTGTGTGTGTGTGTGTGTGTGTGCAAAAGTTTAGTAACCTGTGGAAAAATATCCCCATGCCCAGGAGAAGGTCCTGGTTAGTGTTGTCACTACAGCATGCTGGGAGGAAAAGAGAAAGAAAAGAGGAGTGTTTTGTTTTTATAACGGCACCACGTAACAGCATCTTGGCAAAGCCAAGGTGGGGTAACCCACACAGAACATATAAAGAAGAGTTATTTTAACATGTGGAGAAAGCAATAGGAAACTACTCCACAATCTTTCCCAAGAAACCATGGCAATTCACAGATAAAGAAATGGAATCTGTGGAGAGCCATGATCACCTATGCTCTGAAGGGATATGGCATTAACAATAAATAGATAGATAGGTAATGTATTTTGAAGCATTATTTTTTTTTCATTGAAAAGGAATAATTTGACTGTAAATAAACCAGTTATTTTATAAAATAAAACAATGTTGTTTTTCTGTAAAATGTAAATTTATCATTATAAAGCTTTCCTTAACATTATAGACAACCTATTATAACCAATTGAATCAATGCTTTATGTTTAGTTCTTAATGCAACAATAATTAAATAATTCCAAACTGTATGTTATTTCTTTCTCCCTAAAACATCTAAATTTTTATAAACCTAATTTGCACTATTTTTAAGTGCCAACAAAACAGCTGTAAAAACAAAAGGATACGAGTTTGTTTGATGATGACTTCTCGTGTGGACTCATGGAAAATCATTTGATAGAACACATACACAATCTGGCAAACCATTTCATCATCTTCTTGTTTTGCTGAAGTTAAAAACAATTCTAAGTTTTAGCAAATTTCATCAGAAACAATGAATTTAAGTACAACTTCAACAATGTAAACTGAATACAAGAGAATAACTAGAGATATGGAAGATATTCAATTTGCATATGATTAACTAGAATTCTCTTCGGTATTATTACATAATCATACAAACATATATAGATTTTAGGAAGATTGTAAAGAAAAAAAAAGAAAATTAAATTATCTAATCTCATGCAGGTTGCACCTTAATAAGTTTGGAATCAGACAAGTGCTAGAGGAATTAATTTTTCAAACCATATACTGATACAATATGTATAAAACTAGTTACTTGGAAAATGACATGAAAAAATTCTCTCCAAAATTTAGAATGGAAACTTCTTTCAAATAATTGTCGCTCATTACTTAATATAAAAAATATTAGTAAAATCCAATAATTTTTGTGTAAATGTTAAAATCAAAGTTGTTGATCAAATACAAATTAATATGATCAGTGGGAACCTGGGAAAATTCTGCAGTATTTTTTTAAAGTTTTTAAAATTTGAGTCTTATACAACTGTGATATCTTTTTATTGCTAATTAAACTTTAAACACTTTCTATTTGTATTGGGTCATTTATATAAAATATGTAATGAAAGGGCAAAACAGCAGTGTTTTAATGCTTTTTATGACATCTGTTTCTTTTAATCATGTACAACATAACTCATGAACATTCCACCTTTTTTGCTAAATTTTAATCACTGAAACCAATCATTTTGGGCTGGAATATTTCATATTACCATACAATCTTACTAAACCAGAAGTTAAAAACACAAGGACAATCATTTTCTTTCTAGGAACACATACATACAGCTTCAAAACACTCCAGAATGAGGCTTGCTGAAAGTTAAAAAGAGTGGACAGGCAAAGCTATTACAGAGTGTGTAATGTAAATGCTAAGGAAGAATCAGAATTATAATATGATTATTTTTTGCTTAGACCTTTATAACTTTACATGCCACCAATTTGCAGTTCTATAGCATGTACACAAATAATTTTGACATCAAATTTTTTTTTCCAATCTTTTCTTTTTACTAATGGCACAAAATGTTGATAAAATTAACTATTGTAAGAGTTCTGTTTTTTGTTGATTTTTTGTTGATTTTTTGTTGAAATTTTTTGTTCATACCTAAATGACCACCAGATTCTAATGGCCACCCCAAAGCACTGTAACTGCCAAGTTAATGAATTTGAGATCAGTGAGAACTAACCTGTATTATTTCATTTCTAAATATCTCATATCAAATTAATCATCTAAATTTCTAATCCATCACATCAACAGGAAAATAAAAAAAAAAGAAAATTTACTGACCATTGAGGAGTTCAATAAGAGCTTGAATAATACCAGCGTCAGCCAAAAGTTTTGCACAGCTATCATCATTGCAAACTGTACCAACAAGGATGACAATTTCCAACACAACATCATCAGCATGGTTACCTGAAATGAACATCACACAAGCAAAATTTCATTCAATTTTTATCAATGGTACTGATGCTATTTGTTTGTAATTTTAATTAGGTTTAAATAAATGGCAAATTTATATAAAACCTACTCAATCAAATTATATATATATATATATATATATATATATATATATATATAACAAATACCTACACAAAAAGTAGAAAAGATATTTTTAATTGATTCCTATATTTTTAAATTTCTATTTACCTAAATTCTGTTATTTTACAAATTGATAAATCATGTATAATTTGTAAAAATCTGTCAAAAATTTTAAATGATTATTAGTTTTTACAGGTAAACCCAAAATGATATAATATGGTAGAACTGAAAATGTAAAGTCTTGTTCATAAATAATGTCCGTTTGATTATTTTTAAGTTACTTCAAGTCAAAATAAAAATAATATTAGATAAATAAATAAAAACAGTGAAATACAGTTCAATGAATGAAAAAACATAACTTTAATATGTAAATATCTAATAACTTTAAATGGTTTCAGAATAAAATACAAAGATGGCATTATTTAATTTAAATATTATTTAATATTGAATATTTTATTAATTTAAAACAGAGTGAAGAATTTAAATATATTTGATAAAAAAAAAAAAAAAAAAAAAAATCATTTCTACCTGGTTGAAGTTTATTCTTAATCCATGGCACAAGATTATATTCTTTGAGAATCAATTCATAATTCAGCTCAGGAATGGTCAGATTCCCCATAATACCCAAGCATTCCAAGGCATATTCTTCATTATCCTTCTGCATCATTGCTTCTACTAAGTCTCCAATATAATCCTAAAAGATATAATTATTAATAATAATAATAAACATTGATTTCATATTACTAAAAGAATCATATTTTTTCTTTTTACACAAAGTGCTAAAATATTTTAATAATACATGTATATAAATTATAAATAACTTCTAAAAACTGTTTTTGATAACCATTTTTCCAAGTTTTCATACAATACTAGGAGAAGTAGAAATATTTCTCTATAGAACTTAATGTAAAATTGAAGAGTATAAATAGAACCGGCTCGGTTGAGGTGGGAACTCTTCAGTATACAGCAAACCTGGCAACGAGGGTGTAACAATTTAACAAGCTTTGAATTAACAAAACACTACCCCCTCAACAGCAAAGAAGAAATACTCGAATTCGACAACAACACGAGTAAAACTTCAAATTAACAGCAAAGAAAAAAATACTTGAATTCAACAACACAAGTAAAACTTCGAATTAACAGCAAAGAAAAAAAATGTACTCAAATTCAATAACAACATGAGTAAAACCTCGAATTAATGAAACATTACCTCCTCAACAGCAAAGGAAAAAAGTACTTGAATTCAACAACAACACGAGTAACAAACTTCGAAAATAACAAATTATTTTGGGAAAGAAATGGCTCTCTCTATGCCAACAATAGAGCCCCTAGACTGGGAAGACTCCAACCAGGAGCAAGCATGGAGAGAATGGAGTGAACATATCGAAGACGCATTTACAGCATTTGATATAACAGATGATAAACGACAACTATCACTCTTTCAATTTTACGGGGGAAAGAAACTGAAAGATATTCTCAAAACCTTAACACCAGAGATACCACCAGGCCAAGTAGAGCCTACATACAAAACAACAAAAATAGCACTGGATGAATATTTCATCCAGAAAACAAATAAAGTCTTTGAAAGATAAATTCAGGATGCTTAGTCAAGAAAACGGGGAGTCAACACATGACTATGTCACCCGTCTACGCAGACAAGGAGCAAAATGCAACTTTGGCGAATACAACCTGAACAAGGCTATAGTGGACCAATTAATAGAAAAATGCTCGTCAAGCAAATTACGCTGTGCGTATTTGAAAGAAACTGATTTAACAGTAGAGAAAGCACTTCAAAGAGCATTCATATTTGAATCCACTGAAACACAAGCTAAGCAAATAGAAGAGAATGAAAGAAAAATTACAAGCAACAACAACAACAACAAGATAACAGTGGGTATAGGAAACTATCCATGGACAACAACCCATTAAAAACAGTTACAAAATGCTACGGGTGTAATGGCTCTGACCACATACATGGTCAAACAAAATGCCTAGCATTTTGAAAAAAATGTAACTACTATGGAGTAATAAATCACTTTGAAAAACCATGCTTAAAAAAAAAGGAACAGTGATAAAGGGAAAACGAAGATGTCAGACGGCCACAATTACGTCCAACCAGTATCGACGAATCTGAATAATGCAGACAGCCAGACATTCGTTTTTCAGGTGAAACCTATTCATTCAGCAGATAGCGATATTGTCCATATTGGCGACATACCAGGCGGAATATTAATAGATTCGGGTGCAGACAACCTTATCAACAGCAAAAGGTTTAAAGAGATCCTTAAAGTACGGCCAAACTTAATATTAAAAGAAACAAATTGTAAACCAAAAGCCTATGGGAATATTCCAATACCACTAAGAGGAGAATTTTTCGCAACACTGACAAATGGTCCCAGAAGAAAAGCCCACAAAGTATTCATTACAAAGGCATATCAAGTTGGTAACATATTAAGTAAGCGGGCCAGCATCGAATTAGGGTTTATCATCACCCCACAGGTGAAATCGATTACAACAAAAAGTATCCCAAAATCAACAAAAGAAATTCTAGATCGACACCTACCCTCATTGGAAGGATTAGGAAGAATGAAAAATTTCCAACTCAAAATTAGACTAGACGACAACGTTATACCTGTTGCACAACCGCCAAGACGGACACCATTTCATATCCAACAAGCAATAGAGAAAAAAAAAAAAAAATATCAATGAAATGCTAGAAAATGATATTATTGAAAGAGTGGAAGGAGTGGGTCTCGCTGTTAGTAGCAGTACCGAAACCAAACGGAGAAATTAGAATATGTGCCGACTTATGCGTGGCAAATAAAGCAGTGAAATGCACTTGCTATCAAATACCAACAGTTGAACAGTTACTGAGTGAAATTAGCAATGCAAACGTTTTCTCAAAAATCAACCTAAACTCTTATTACCACCAAATAGAACTGGATCCTGAATCTAGGGACATCACTACCTTTTCATGCAAATCCGGAATTTACCGATATAAGGTACTGGTTATGGGCATTGCATCCGAGCCAAAGAAGGGCAACGATTGCTTCAACAAATCCTTCAGAAAATCCCTAACTGCTGCAATGGGGCAGATGACATTCTAATCTGGGGCAAAGACACAAGAGAACATAACAGAACCCTAGATATGGTATTAGGCACATTGAAAGAAAACAACCTCACAATTGCAGAGCACAAAAGCATATTCCATAGTGAAGAAATCGAATTCCATGGTTTTATAGTGTCCAATACAGGGATCAGACTGATTGACTCGAAAATAAAAGCAATCAGAAATTTCAAAAACCCTGAAAACATCCAGGATATACATAGTTTCTTAGGTCTAATCAATTACCTTGCAAAGTTTATTCCACGACTGGCAACACTCAGTGAACCATTAAAAAAGTTAACGCGAGCAAACATGGAATGGCGGTGGACGGAGGAAGAAGAATCTTGTTTTCTCATGCTGAAGAATGCAGTCATTCAGAGCAAACCACTCATGCACTTTGATCCAAAATTGCAAACATCTGTTATAGCAGATGCCAGTCCCGTGGGACTAGGAGCAATACTTTGCTAAAACAAACAAGGGATACTCATCCCCATCAGTTACTCAGCCAGGATGAAGCGAACGCCAGTACTGTCAATTAGAAAAAGAAGCCCTAGCTATGGGCTTGCGAAAAATTCCACTTTTACCTTTATGGAAAGGACTTTCTTATAATGACCGACCATCAAGCATTAACAACTATCTTCAATCCTAAAGATAACCCCTCCGTGTGAATTTTGCGATCGATTTTACATCTACAACAATATGATTATACAATAAAACACATTAACGGTAAAGATAACCCGGCGAACATACTCTCTCGACAACCTATGGAGTATCAAAAGTAGTCTCACCCGAAGAAGAGATTACTGAAGGATTTATCAACACGGTTGTAGCTAACAGCATTCCAAAATCAATCACCTTATCGGAAATAATGGAGGAATCTCAGTGGGATCCAACCGTCACAGCAGTGAAAAAGGCAATACAACAAAACAACTGGACCAATAAATTAACGAAACCCTTTAAATACGTGAGGAATGAACTGACAACAAAACGAGGCGTAGTCATACGCGGAGCCAGAATTATCATACCCCAAAACCTACAGAAACGAATCCTGAAATTGGCGCATGAGACACATATGAAGATAATGAAAACAAAAGCCTTGCTCAGAACTAAAGTATGGTGGCCCAATATAGACATAGAGGCTGCCATAAGCCGATGTATCCCGTGCACAACATTAGACCCGAAGGGAAACCACTGTCCAGTGCATATGACTGAAATGAAAGGCCCCCGGGAAATACTCCACGTAGACCTCTGTGGGCCTTTCCCTAGCGGGGATTATGTAATTGGAATAATCGATGCGGGATCAAGATGGCCAGAGGCATTTGTTACCAAATCCACCAGGGCTGATACAATCATATCGACAATCCAAAGGTGTTTCTATACACATGGCATTCCAGCGATTATCGTTTCAGATAATGGACCCCAGTTCATATCCTCAGAGTTTAAGCACTTCTGCAAAGAATGGGGTATCCAACACCGAAAGGTAACCCCTTATTATCCCTAAGCTAATGGAGAGATCGAGCAGTTCTTCACAACCATGTTGAAAGCCATTCGGGCGATGAACACAGAAAGAAAGGACTGGAGAAAACATCTAGGAAAATTCCTAATGTATTACCAAAATAGTCCACATGCCATGACGAGAGAAACTCCAGCTCAGCTACTCATGGGTAGGGAAGTAAACATCAACATACCAGGATTACAAAAGAGGCCTGAAAACCAAGCTTGGAGAACAGCACGGGAAAAAGACAAAAAAAGAAAAAGACAGATTGAAAAATCGCACAGATCAAAAAAATAAAGCTAAACATAGAACCCGGAGATGTCATACTACTTAAACAAAGGAAACACAACAAGCTAACACCAGTTTACCACCCAACACCATGGAGAGAAAAAGAACGCAGAGGCAAATCTGCAATTATAACGTGAGGTGACAAACTTATTTTACAACACGCATCACAAATGAAAAGTATCCCCGAAGACAGGACTTGCCAACAACCAAGGGGAGCAGAAAGATATAAAACATGAGAGAGAAAGTGAGGAGGAGAAGGAAGAAGCAGATATCCCTATAGCCCTAAGACAACCAAAACGGCATATAAGAAAACCCCGAAGGTATGCAGGCAGCAGTTTTGGAAAAAGAGGGAAACAATCTGAATACAAAGGAGGGAGCAGATGTGATGTCCGCATGAGTATAAATAAAACCCGCTCAGTTGAGATGGCAACTCTTCACATACAGCAAAGTTATTTCTACACAGAGTGAATGTACCACAATATACTATCTGATTTTATTATGCAAGTCAATGTTTTCACAATAAAAATGGTAATTAATGGATGATGGTAACATTTTCAGGATATATTTATATAAACAATCTATCATATAGGTTTCAGTTTATAATATCTCTCCTCCATAAAAAATAGTGATTAGGACTTGTTTTGAGGCTTTAGAGTTTTCTTATTGTTGTAATGGAATGTCCCACTCTCCCTATCGTCTATTGTGGACTGACTATATCAGTAGATATACTGCGTGCCAAATTATTATCAAGATAACTTTTTTCTAATATTTCAAAAACCGTCTAATCAATTCACACAAAATTTTCACACAATGTTGGCAACACTGATCTGCGCAATCACTGAAATTTTTGTACTGATCTGCACAATGTAAACAAACTGGTGCCATATTTGTTATCAGCATGGTGATTTGAGCATGCCAAATTATTAGAAAGGTTTAGTAAAATTCCCAGAATTGAGCAAACAAAACGTTTATTAATGTTGCACGTGAATGTTTATGATCAAAAGAAGCTAATAAATAAGATAATCAAACAAATAATAACAGATACAAACAAAGGCACAGTTTTAAACAAATTAATAGGGAATGTGCTTTCCCTGTTTTGAAATTACTTGAAGAAGTCGATGATCCATAGAATTTGTTAATTGTAGGATATCATCTGCTGTAATGCCGCGAGATATGTCAAAAATTGCTTCCCACAACTCAGCATTGCTCCTGAATTGTCGTCCGTTGGCTTACAGTCTTCGCTTCATGATGCTCCAAAGGTTTTCGATTGGGTTCAAATACAGAGAATTTGCTGGCCATTTCATTTTTCGAGGTCCATCGAAGCCTAACTGTTTCAAATATTCAGTAGCCTTGTGAGCAGCATGTGAGAGAGCATTATCTTGCATAAAAACAATCGCCCTTCTGAAGGCAACTCTTTGCCTTTTCATCCACAGTTCAAGATGTTCCTTCATAAACGCTATGTATGGATCAGCAGTCATTTTGACGCCATCTGGTACTCCCCATGGGCCCACTAATGTTTTTCCAATAATAGCACCCCAGATCATTATGCCTCCACCGCCTTGTTGGCGTCTCAAACGATGATGGCAATTCTGTCCATTCATTACCCAGGCTTTGCACCATCTATCTGGCCCATCAAGTGTTGCTAGAGTTTCGTCTGTGAACAAAACTTTAGAGAAGTCAATCTTCATATTGTCCTCGGCCCATTTCAATCGATAAAGGTTTGACTTTTGTTGCTATTTCCCTCAGATACCGACACCAAGTACTTTTAGACACAGTAGGATCCCCAATGTGACTGAAAAGCTCTTGACTGGTAAGTCCAGGGTTCTTCGTGGCCTCTCGTTTAAGTTGTGACATGAGACGACGTGAAATAACCCTCGGCTTGCCTTTATCTGCCCTTTTGCGCACTTGTGTAGGGTCGACGGGGAACTTTTCATTGTTTGATGACACCTCCCTATCATTTTAGAAATTTCTAGGGTAGATTTACCTTTTGAGAGTTCTGAGGTGATAGTTTTCTTTTCAGCATCACTCAAACTGCTTTTACGGCCCATGTTTTCACTAAATTCTTACACTTTTCTAATAATTTGGCACACTCAAATCACTGTGCTGATAACAAATATGGCGCCAGTTTGTTTACATTGCGCAGATCAGTACGAAAATTTCAGTCACAATTGTTCTAGTGAGACAAGCTTGCTAACTATTACACCACATCGAGATGCCCAAAATTTTTATTTATATATAAATCTAAAAGATCTAAGAGAAACACGTAATTAACACAATATCACATATACCAAAATAGATGATTAATTTACTTGTGAATAAATCCTCTTTGAAATTTTATAGCCTTCATCAAACATTTGCCATTGATTTTATCATGTTTTCTCCTTTTTCAACTTTAACATGCATCAGTTTTTATTTTTTCTTAAAGATTTCTTTGTTTGAATATTGTTTGATATTCTCAGTCAGATTTCTTTTAATGATAGACCACAAGTTTTCTATTAAATTAATATCTAGGTCAGCTGAGGACCATTACATTAATTTAGTATATTTTAAAGCTTTATTTGGATAAGGTGGGGAATAGTCAAGCCTTGAAGGAGCATCGTCTTAAATGAATATACTTTTTATTAGTTTGGTGCAAAAATAATGACGTAATGATGTCGTTTTTTGACGTTAAAAAATATGTCCAAAAACGACATCATTACGTCATTATTTTTGCACCAACCTAATAGCTTAAAGATTTTTGATTGTGATTTGAACCACTCAAAAAATGTCTTGTCCAAGAATCTATAATGACTGCATTTATTTTGACGGTGTCATCTTTAAAAGGATCTTTGATTTTTTTATGTATTCTAATCTTTATTGAATCAAATTATCTGTATGTCTTGAGAAAAGATTTCTTAAAACAGTAAAACAAATTTTGGTAGAAACTCACTGAATTTCTATATAGTATATTATTTACCATGTAAACATTTTGTTCTGCTCAACATGTTGTGAGGGTTGCTATATCAAGTCTTTTATAATAAACTTTTGCATAAAAAACAACCCTGCAAAATCTTTTTTTAAACATTATTCAGTAGTTTCTGACAGTTGTGGAGTGAATTGTCACTTTTCTGCATTATATTATTTTTATGTCAGCAAACCCTAATAGACTCCAAATGGACACAACATTAGGTCCAGTTTAACAGTATATTCACATTGTAAATTGAATATTAAATGCCAAATAGGCACAAGGACTCGGTCCAGATTTAAATTATACAAGCATTGTTGAAGTGACTCATTTACATATGAAGTCACAAAGACTATAAGTAGCTACAGCTATTACCCATGAGGCAGTTGAGTGCATACTACTTCCCATGAGTCACTACACAACAGTGTTGCCAAATCGAATGAACAATTATCACTTGATAATTATGAGTATGCACAAGCGTGGCTTAGGATATCAACAGCTAAAGCTAGAACAAAAAGTTAAAGAATTTGAAATCAACTGGAGGAGAAAACCAAATAATGGATCTTTTGTTGGCTATTGCTGGTTGTTAGGCCATTATAAAATTATCAGCAATTGCACACCCAAGACAGTTGGAGGAAATGATGTTTGATGATATAAGTCAACTAATAATGGAAAACATAGCACCCAAGAAAAAAAGTAGTGAATGCCGAGAGAGCTAAGTTTATGAATATCTCTCAAAAAAAATCAAACTAGTTATTGAATATGTTCTTCATTTAAAACAGGCTGCTAAATAGTGAATTTGAAAAACTGATTTGAAAACCAGTCAATCAAAGAAGATTAAATCCCAAAAGAAAAACAGAGACAATCCAACAAAATGCAGAGGGATAATTATGGATGTCTTTTCATTAAGAAAAAAAAAAAAAAAAAAGATTAAAAATTTGAATCAATAATGCTTTATTAAACATGCAATTAAATATGGGAAGTGATGTGATGTTGATATCCAGAAATTTCTGGAGGAAATTAAAAAAAAAAAAAAAAAGTTTAAAGAAAAGGCATATCCAATTGAATCAGTTCAATGAATCCGTGATAAAAACATTAGGCTATTTTGAAGCCTATGTAGAACTAAAAAATAAGTTTGGTGTATTACCAATTATTGTGGTAAACTGTGAAAAGAATCATGGTCTAATAGGAAATTAGAATAGGAAAATATGTATTGAACATAGATTCAACAAAATTGGTAAACAAAGATAAGGTAGAAGAAACTGGAATGTTAAAAACTATGAAGCAAAGTTAAGTCTAAAAGAAAATATCTCCCCCTTATATCACAAAAAGTGCCAGTCCAACTACTACCAATAGCTGTAGATATCAACATCAAAGAGAAAAACAAAAATGTCCAGCATAAAAAAAAAATGCTAGAAGATTGAAAAGTCTGTCTTCATGGGTAGACAAATTAGAGCCCCATTGACCATGTCCTATGCTACCAATGAAAAACCGTGGTATAAAAAGAAGAGTGAATCTAATCTACAAGAGGCAAGATTCATAATGCAAATTGGACAGGACACTATGATAAAAAAAAAAAAAAAAAAAAAAGAAATGGGATATTAGTGCATGCAGACCAAGTTAGATTGCAATATGAGAGTAATGAAGAAATGTTTAGTGAAAATTGTCATGTCAAGGCAAGACGAACAAGGCATTGAAGTCTAGAGTAATATAGGCAGTTGAGTGCATACTACATCCCGTGAGTCAGTAACACTATACTACAATTGTAAATCAAATCACCACTTTAGAGCCACTCCAAGTGTTTCTACTTAATTTTTTGTGAAATGACAGAAATGTCATTTTAAGAAAGTACAGAAGAAACTACACCAGAAAAATATTCATTTTAGCTAAACCAAAACTTCATCAGTTTCTTTACATCAAAATTATATAATATTATATGCACAAGGCCACATAGTCTGCACATAAAATTGGTCAATATTTAAACTTTATCAATTTATTTAATGAGAAAAAATATGTTAAATTTAGAATGAAAAATAATATTCAAATAAAAATATAATTATACTTACAATAAACAAATTTTTGGTGAAACCATCATGTTGTGAAATATTTCTTAACATCTTCATTAAAATTGGATCTTTAAATTTGAAAGCCCTTTTATACAGCATCTTCAGTCCATTACCCTCTGATATAATCTCTGCTGTTCGTTTGCTAGCAGCAAGGTTTACACACAAAGCAAGCAATTCTCTATCTGCATCCTCTGGACTCTCTAACAGCATCTTCATTACCTTAAAATTAGAAATTAAAAATAGCCTAGTTTAAACAATTTAATTGAAAATTTATAGAAATTTGGCTGTTTTCAATGCTATGAAAATAAATTCACAATATGAAGAACTATAAGCCTGAGGACAGGCAAGAAAAAAAAAATACAAAAAAGAATTTTCAAATACATGAGTAATGCAGAAAAAAATCAAATTTTTATTCACTTCTCATCTCTCCATGGATAACAGAAAAAAAATGTAGCAATATATTTTGACAATTTATCAAATTATGTTATGTGATTCACACAGATATTTTTTTTATATATTAAAAAAAGCAAAAAAGGATATTTTATAGTGATTTTTAAAAGCAAATATTATGAAAGAATGTAAAACGCAGAAAATAGTGAGACAGAAATACTGGGTCAGAAGTATATTATTGAATTAATATTTACTTAACCAGTTTAGCTAATTCTTGAAAAACTTTATAACCAGAAAACTAAGAGCTGGAAAATAAGTTGTGTATTGGGTATAAATTTACAATAAGTAAGATTACAAGATTTACTTACCACTGGAATGCAATCTGTATAAATAAACATGGATTTTGCTTTATCATCCATACTAATATGATACAAAATTCCCAAGACAATTAATTTATGATTTTCATTATCTGAAATGTAAAAATAATTTAAATTTAGAATGTGAAATAAGACAAGAAATTAAGCAAGTATGAACAGCATGGATTTTATAAATATTTCCCTATATCCTTTAATTGTAAACATACAACCACAGCCCTCAGTCAGTTGTTCACTGATTGGACATCTTCACCCTACAATGTATTTTGAATCCTGTTTTTTGTCAATGTGAGCAAAAACTGAGAAAGGTCTGATGCGTGTTCAACAAAAAAACAGAAAGTGAAACATCACAACTAGAAAAGAAAATGTAAAATCCTGTTTTTGAGAAACCATGTTCTTATTCACTGGTCAAGTTTCAAGTCAGACCAAGCACTCTCTCATGAGATACAAAAGTGGCCTTTAGGTTCCTTTGCCTCTTAATTCAATCTAGTGACTGCTATCAATGTGACTTGTTGGATGGACAGTTCCTCTCTGCTGATTCTAACTGACCGACTTATCTAGAATAATTTTACTTATTCTAGAATACAGCCCAATTTTATAAGCCTATGATCGGAATTCCCTAGCTTCCGGTTGAATATCAGTTGATCCTGAAAGGGTATTTTTTTTTCCTTTTATCCTACTTGTTGATAGTGGACAATTGCTTTGAAGCTCTCACATCTTGATTTTATGATTAGCTGTTATTAAAAAATAAAAACATTTACAGTCTACTTGTCTATGTGGGTGTCCTCAACCAATCAATCAGGAACCAGTTGTGCCACATAATTTCACTTACAAAAAATGATGGACATAATATCAAAATTAAGATGTTGTTTTAATTTATTATTATTACTTCAATTGTCTATCTGATGAGAACTTGACAAAACTTTATCATTGAAAGTGGCATTTGTCTTTGACAAATGTCACTTCAGAGAATCTAAAATAATCAAATCTCATCAAAATACTTACTAAGTAAACTGACCAATTTTGGTAAAAGACCAAATTTGATCATTTTGTTTCTTTGTTCAGCATCAAAGGAAAGGTTTTTTAGTAGACGCAAGGTAATGTTTAGCAAGTCTTCATGGTCACAAGGAACAAGAGGAGCCAGTCGCTCAATGATTCCATGATCAGCCTAGAAAGAGAGAGAGACAGAAAGAAAGGTAAATTATCTCAATCATAATAAAAAGCATCATTAAAATTGCTAAAGAAAATCTAAAAAAAAAAAAAAAAAAATCTAAAACATGCATAAATAAACAAAGATAAAATGCTAAACTTCTTTTTTTGTTTTTTAAATGACTATAAAAAGCTAAAGTAATATTTCAAAGGAAAAAGTGATAAAGCCACCTGTTTACATAAGACTTACCATTTCATTTTTATTTTCAATAAAAATGCTTAATTTTTTCAGAAATGACACAACCAACATTAGCAATTCATAATTTTCATTTCTGTCCAAACATTTTACAAGCAAGAGAACAATTCCTTTGTTTCTCATTTTCATTTCCACTTTAAGATCTTCAGCCAAGTTGAGAAGGAGATAAAATGATACTGAAAAAATAATAATAAAACATTCAGAAAAATCTTTAAAAAAAGAAAAAGTTTGTTTTTTTTAAATCTATGATTTAAAATATATTTGGAAACTTAAAATTATAGCTGACATAACAGTTTCATTTAATATATCACTTTATAGAGCAAAAATTATTTCTATTAAAGTTCAAATATTTTGTCATTAATATAATCAAGAAAAAAATTTTCAACTCACCTCGTAATAACTGATCTTGTTTTTTGACAAGGCTTTCAAATTTCTTGAGGCTTTTTTCATATTCTTCTTTTGCCTTGCCCTTTTCATCTTTTTCCATTTCAGGTGAAATGAGTTAAGCAAAATATCTTTGAGTTTGATTTTATACACCCTAGAGCAAAAATAACCCAACACTCTCTCTCTCTCTATATATATATATATATATATATATATATATATATATATCATATACATATATACATGTGTGTGTGAAAAGTGTATATAAATATATATATATATATATATATATATATATATATATATATATATATATATATATATATATATATATATATTATTTATATATATATGCGCGGTACTTATTAGAAAGCGCTCAATATCAGAGATAGAGCTAACATATTTGGTTGGATAGATGTGAGTTTGTGACCCTGGGTTTCATGCTTTAGCGATCATCAGACAAACTGATTAATGTTTTAAAAAATTTGGGTTTATGTAGATTGCGTGTATTGGTGTTATTGTGGAAGTGGTGGGGGAAATTGTCGTTGTTTTGTCATTCATCGTACTAACGCAAACATCAATGTATGCAGACACATATACATACTTGGTCGTCCGTCGGGACTCATACATATATAAACATATGTGGGCAGTTTCGGCTATGACACATGTATGTATACGGGTGGTGTTATATCTATACATACGCATTTGTGTGTTGAAATGTTGAAATTTAAACATTGGAAGTGTGGCGGAAATGTCTCGTTACTGTATACATGTCATATTATGTATTTTCCCACTGAAAAATATTTCCTTGCATGTATGTATATGCGTGTGGTGGGGTTTGTGTAAAATTATGATAGGTAAAAATTATTATTATTTATATTTATTTTTAAATTTTTGAAAAAAAAAAAAAAAAAAAAAAAAATGGGGGTTTATTTGTTATATTTAAAGCTGGTTATTTGTTTGTTTTTGGTGACTGTGTATATGTAACAGGTAGAAATTTGTAATCCTTATTGGTTAATTTATATGGTGATGTTTAGTTTAATATTCAATGTGCTGGGTGAGAGGGTAGTTCAATTTAATAACGGGTCTATATGATATGATGTGATAGTAATGTTTCAAGGGATTGGAGACAATGATAGTTAGCTAATAGTTATTGTAAATTGGTAGAAATTGTAAATTGGTAGAAATGATTAGTAACGGTGGTGGGAGAATGATAAAACCATGAATGTAGTTATAGTGGTGGTAGCTTGAACTAAAAAGTGGTTGTTGGTGTTTTATTTTATTTTTATTTTGTTATATGTATTAATTTATTTTGGTATAAATCCTGATAATAGGTATTCTGTGTAAAATTATGTAGTTGGAGATTGTTATAATTTTTAATTACAAAATTATTGTTGTTATTATATTAAAGCTGCCTGGTAATAGGTGTTTATTCTCATGGTTACATATGGAAATTATATCTGATCATATTGTTTTAAGGTATTAAATATGCTGGGGGAGTAATAAAGATTGTAGTGGATTTATATGTTAATAGTGGGTGTGATGTGTAAGTGATGGTGCTGTGCATTGGTGGTAATGATAATATTGTTAGTTAAAAGGTATTGTAGTAAAAGTGATTACTAATGGTGGTGCAATTATAATAATGATAGATGCAATTATTTTGATGGTATCTTGAAATTAAATTGTGATTGTTGGTGGTTTGTCTGTTTTATCCGTTTGGTATGAATTCAGATAATAGGTACCGAATAGGTATTATCATCACCATATAAATTAACCAATAAGGATTACAAATTTCTACCTGTTACATGTACACAGTCACCAAAAACAAACAAATAACCAGCTTTAAATATAACAAATAAACCCATTTTTTTTTTTTTTCAAAAATTTAAAAATAAATATAAAAATAATAAATTTTTACCTATCATAATTTTACACAAACCCCACCACACGTATATATACATACATGCAAGGAAATATTTTTCAGTGGGAAAATACATAATATGACATGTATACAGTAACGAGACATTTCCGCCACACTTCCAATGTTTAAATTTCAACATTTCAACACACAAATGCGTATGTATAGATATAACACCACCCTTATACATACATGTGTCATAGCCGAAACTGCCCACATATGTTTATATATGTATGAGTCCCGACGGACGACCAAGTATGTATATGTGTCTGCATACATTGATGTTTGCGTTAGTACGATGAATGACAAAACAACGAAATTTCCCCCACCACTTCCACAATAACACCAATACACGCAATCTACATAAACCCAAATTTTTTTTAAAACATTAATCAGTTTGTCTGATGATCGCTAAAGCATGAAACCCAGGGTCACAAACTCAACCAAACCAACTATCCAATCATATATATATATATATATATATATATATATATATATATATATATAAAAATATAGTTTTATGGTAAGCTATATTTATGGGTAAAAATGCTCAATATCAACATTTGTAAATATAAAAGAGGACTGTGATTAACAATCTGTTTTATAACTGAATGCAATCTTCAGGCCTGGACACTGCATTCAACTGACTTGCTACTCAATCTGCTTATTACAGAACAAAAAAAAATAAATCTTTCAGCACACTATGATAAATTTGCATAAAAGGAGCAAGAATAAAGAAAGTTACAAAACAAAAACTTTTTAAAAAGGTAACATCCAGAATTAAAGATCAAAACTATAAATATACATATAAATTAAAATTTACATTTGTAGCTGCAGGATTTCTCTAATTTATCACATTCTTCAGGTATGATTTTGTCCCATTCCCTCTACAGTTTCTGCCATAAAAAAAAGTCAGTGCTGTCTTTTTGCTTGCCTGAACATTAGCACTAATGATTTGTAGAATCTCAAGTGGATTGAGATCTGGCATTATTTTACAGGTTTTGCAGAATGATGAGGTGCATTATCTTGCATAAAGAGGAGTACAAGAACAGAGAAAGAACATGTTTAATAATATTCTTATACACTGCAGCATCAGCTATGGAACTGCACAAGTGATCTATCACAGGCACAGTAGAACATCTCCTATACAAATAAGCTACCATCTCAGTATTTAACACATGTTTTCACACATTTGAGAAGTAATACCATCTGACATACTATTTACTGTTAAAGACCAATCAAATTAAACCTACTTTCATTACTGAAGAACTCTTGTCCAATTTTCATTGGTGTAGATAACTAGCTTTTTCAAACAAGCATGTTAAGCTTTTTTGTTCTTCTTGCTGATGAAAGGTTGGATGGTAACAGAATGTACATGAAGCCTTGTTTCACATAAAAGATACAACAATGTCTGTAAAGATACTTTCTTATCAAATTATATAGTTATCTGATGTGCAAGGCTCAATTCTGCACCAAAACCATCATCTAGCATGGAGGATCTTTGAATTTCTTCATTCTGCTGAAATGTTTTAAGTAGTTAAAAAAAAAAAAAAAAAAAAAAAAAGAGAGAGAGAGAGAGAGTCAGAGAGAAGAATTTTAAAAGTTTAATATTTTCAAAATGACTCTTAAGTTTATGAATTCCCTTTGCACAAACATCATCCCTTAAGCACACAAGGGATTCATCAATTTTGCTATAACTTAGGGAAACAATGCTGTAGATAAACAAACTATACTTGTTTATATTGTAATGAGGCCATATTTCATTTTAAAGTATTATACAATTCTTTTTTTTTTTTTTTTCTAGAAATCAACCCTAAATATAAATAACAATGTTTATTCTCTAATTTTGGATGCTAAATGTTTTTTAATAAACAGTTTTCATTTTACAATTATTTTTATCCTTTAATTTTTAAATTTATATAAATTTATTACAGTGAATTAATATTCATTGTAATTTTTATTATGCTAAAATTTGTAAAATTGGAATTTTCTTTTTTTAATTTTCATTCTGTAATATTGGATCCTACTGTATGTGCATGCATATATATATATATATATATATATATATATATATATATATATAATATATATATATATATATATATCTCAAATAGAGGCACAGTGGAGAAGTGGATAAGCAGCTTAGGATTGAGGAATCAGAGAGCCAGTTTAATTCCAGTCAAATCCATTACATTCACTTACGTGCTAATACCCTTGGGAAAGGAAGGAATCCTCTTCATCTCCCTCCAGCTATGGGTAAATAGCAGGACAGACTGGGTTCTATAGTCTTGGATAGCAACTGGTCTAGGAGAAGGACAACTCTGAATTCAAAACCTGCAAAGGGTTCTTTGGGGACCTTGTGGTACATAGCGCACAAGGTCTCTGTGTTTGGCCCTTCAAAAAGTGTGGTTGGTACTGCACAAAGCCTTCACCACTATAATCAAATCATTTGTGCTGGTGTCTGGGCTGTATAGAATATAGGATTAACAATAACTTTTCTAATGAAGATATTCAAATAAGTATAGTAGTGCTTATAATAATGCTTTAAAAAATAGTGGTTATAAGTATACAGAAATCAAGTATAGACAACATAATAATGACTGAAGAAAAAGAATAGGAACAGAAAAATAATTTGGTACACAACCCCATTCCAAATGGTTATTACTAAGTTAGGGCAGAAGTTCCATTTAATTGATAAGCATTTCCCCAGAAATAATCCACTCAGTAAAATATTTAACAGAAACACTAAAACTAAGCTATAGCAGCACTGATAATCTAGAAAAAAAATTATTAAAAAAAAAAAAAAAAAACACAATAAAATTTTAAACAAATATAAAAACCCAAGTAATAATGTTAATTTTAAGGTAACTAATGTCGATAATACTAACAAATGTAAATTGCAGAAATTCTAATGATTACTCTGACCAACTCTCTTGTTTACCTAAGCACTATTACTACAATAGAAAATCCAACTGTTGAAAAATTTTATATAGGGAGTAGTAGGAATTCTTTAAAACTAGGTGGTGCCAACATATCCTATCTTATAAAAATAGAACATATCTTTCCAAATATTTTTGGAATTTAAAAGAGGTTAATAAAACTCCTACAGTTAAATGGAAAGTTTTTAAAAAAGCTAGAACTTCTAAATCCTTAAATGAACCTTGCTTCTTATGCTTACATGAGAAATTAAAAATTATTAGATTAGCTGATAAAAATTCTCTATTAAACCAAAGTGAATTACATGTAAATTGTGGGCATAGCTTACCTTTCACCTTACAATATGTTTAAACTTTAAATTTGGTAGTATGGTCATAATTAGTAAATTGCAGTGCACCTTCTATGAATGATTATTTTATTTTGTTTATTTGAATTTAATATAGCTATGTGTTGCTGTTTAGGTGGCATTATCAACATCTTGTATGCATATTACACATTTTTTATTTTTAAACACTTGAAGTGCATTTATTGGTTTCTTAAAGAAGCCTTTTTATTATCAATTATTTAAAAATATATATATTGCAATTAGCTATATGTTTGATTATCTTCCTACCCCTCCCCTTAGCTTCATATAAAATTGAACAAGTTACATTTGTTTCATAATTATGATACATGGTTGCCACTCACTTATAGTTTGCATTAATTTCTTGTCTGCCACTCATGTCCTTGTCTAGGATTATATTTGAAACCACATTTTACTATGATCAAAATTACCCCTTTTACAAGCCTCATTTAATTTTGATTTGTTATCTAATTTTTAAAATTCAAAAAAATAATTTTTACTCACCAGCTTTATACCATCACTTGAGGAGGCACAATTTGAGTGTGGAAGTATGAAAGCTATTGTGTAGTGATTTTTAACATGTTTTTTGTTTTAATCTAAAATATATATATATATATATATATATATATATATATATATATATATATATATATATATACACACACACACTAAAAAAAAAATTTTATATTTGTATTAATCCCAACACACATTTTTTATATATATATATATATATAAATAAATTTTTCTCCTAATTGTATTAATTGAAGATTATTATTATACTTGGCTATAAAAAATTAGATAACCAAATTCAATGGAGAAAATGTTGTGGTGTGATTCATACCAAAATCATTTTTATTAAATAACTAGCAGTAGAGCCCGACGTTGCCCGGGGATGTAACAGTAAGAGATAGATCAAGTATGGACGATCATAAAGACTGAAAAATAAAATTGACAAAGATTATTGTTTAAGGTTGACGGACATGCATGTCTTAATTAGTTTTTTTTTTTATGAATTGGTCAAACCCAAATTCAAACAAAAACATTGTTTACAATCGTTATGAGTTATGGAAATAATACAGTAATTCCATCTACGTTTTACGCGCGTCCACTGATTACACCCCTTCCTTTCTCGTTAAGCTAAATATAGTAGTAAACCTTTTCTTTAGTTTTAAATAAGTAAGTTATTGTCGTTTTATCAGCTCCTGCTGATATCACCAATCTAACAAATTTAAATTACCGTTTTTTCCGCGTTTTTCTCTGACGTCACGGACAAACTAATCGTTTTGAGTTCAGTCGGGCTAAAATTTCGATCCATGAAGTTGACTCATTTTATCCCTCGTCAGTCAACCTTAAATACAGACAGGGATATCTTACTGACAACAAATAATTCTTCATCCCTTTTGGCTTTATAAATAATTTTCTTCAAGACAATGCAACCAACAACAAATAATTCTTTCCTTTTGGCTCATCGCAAATAATTTTTCTTCAAAACAACCAACAACAAATAATTCTTTTTCATCAAATAAAGATGATGCAACCAACAACAAATAAGTCTTCGTCCCTTTTGGTTCATAAAAGAATAATTTTTAGCAGCAAATTCAATGCCTGATCCCAAAATCTGAGATGACTGACCTTTCTTACGACCGTGAACCTGAACAAAAAGGGTAAAAAAAAAAAAAAAACAACACAAAAACACTACACACAAATTTACAATACCCAAATCCACAGTAAGTACTTTTTTTATCTGTGCACATCTACACCTCGTGTTAACAAGTTCCTTTTTCCAGAACTTAAAAAAAAAAAAAAAAAAAACTTTTCCCGCCTTGTTCACCTTGCTATCCTACCAAAAAAAAAGTGAAGTTTTGTTGAAATCAGTTGAAAAATGTAGATAGCCTTTCTCTGTAATCTTTTACAATTTATGATTTTTATTTTTTGAATACAGTAAAAAAATTGCATATTTTGCTTGTGGTGATTCATAATTAGAATTCTGATTTGAATATATTTTCCACTCATTGTTTCTAATACAAAAAATATTAACTTTATTTGGGTTTATTAATTTATTACAAGTACTGTGTTCTTTTCCTTAATAATTATCATCTTCAAAATATTGTTGTTTTTTTGTCTATCAGATTTCTTGAATACAGCATTTTTAAATTATTTCTTAATACCTTTTTTTAAATATTGAATTAATTTCAAATAGAACCAATGCCTTATTGATCTGCCTTGTAACAAATTGCAAAGGGAAAAAAAAAACGGCCCTAAACAATCGTAGGAATTATCTTTCCCTATTTTATCAAATCGACAAAAATGATTGATTATTTTTGTCCTTTTTTTGACCAAAAAAAAAAAAAAAAAATTTTTAACAAAAATTTCAGACGATTGAAAGAACGATTAAAAAAAAAAAAAAAAAATGTTAAAAAAATACTTTGATTTTTCCTCTTTAATAATAATATGAACATTAGATGATAAAATTTTGTTTTCGGCCAAGTTTGGCTTTTTTTTTCATCATGCTATGCTCTTTTTGTTTACATTTTCGTGGGTGAGTTCTCCCCTTTCATTCTCACGATGTGTCTTAATCGTGTTTTCAAATTGATTTTGTTTTTCCCATTGTATTTTTCCCATTTTGGCGCTGTTAGAACCACCACAAGGTAATTTTATGTAGTCCTGTGAAGTTTTGTTGAAATCGGCTAAAAAATGTAGGAAATTCGATCCAATATATAAACGTTACAGACACACACACACACAATCTGCATTTTATAATAAGTAAGATAAGATTTAAGCATTTTTTTTAAGACCAAATCAAAACAAAACTTTACATGAAATAAACATTTGAAAATGATTTAGAAAAAGATAATTACTAAAGGAATATTTGGGCAAATAAGTATTGTAGTTAAAATGTCAGACAGATAATTTAAGAATTTCTTTAAATACAAGAACAAAAAAGTGGTAATTACAAAGAAAAAAATCAAAGAAAGATTAACCCTGATAAGAGAGTGTACTCTTATAGAATTAACAAATCTTATAATAGCACATGTCTTCTTTGGAGATTCCAATTCCAATTAATAAGATTGTAACTTTTTTCAGGCCTAAGAAAGGATATACATGCTTTTTCTTTTCTTTTGTATTTCTTCATTCCAAAGATCATATTTCTTCAGCTCATGGTCAATAATAGTCATACATAAGGCTCCGATCTTGAAATGAAGTATTACCGCATGAAATTGGGAAAAGTTAGAGAAACAGAAGAATATACAAATTATGTTGGTTGCTAATTCTGTACTTCGCTTCCAATCCTCCTTCAGTATCCGTGCCAGTGCACCAACAACAGTTTCTAGAGAGAAAAAAAAAAAATTAAAATTTTAATATTTAGTGACCGTTCATTGGGATATTTAGTTTTATAGAAAATAATTATAAACTCAGACTAAATTGTTTCTTTCTGTACATGTATATTTTTTTATATAGAATTCTCAATTTAGAGATTTACATTTCAATTGTCATAAAATCTTACCAAAAATACAATATTTATAGAATATCAATAGAAGGTCAACAAATGAAAACAAATCATTAATTTTTTACTAATATTTCTCTCATGTTTGTTGCTTTTTATTGCAATTCACAGAAAATAAAAAATGATTCACTGACAGCTTCACAATTTCTTTTCCTTGAAAATACTTGTAAACAAAACAAGAGCTTTCTCAATAAATAGTCAGCATTTTAGTTCCTATTTAAAACCACTGCAACAGATTATAAAATTACCATTTTGGAAAAGTTCTTCAAGGTTATCAGGATTTCTAGCAAGCTGTAAGAAAAGTGCTGAACCACGTATCTTTTCTGGTATGTCTTCATAAAGAAGTTCGAGGTATTCATCTGTATCATTAAGATTTGCTTCTTCATCCAACTCTGTACCATCACTAAATGCTGGTTCCAATGGTTTGTCAGACAGCTGAGTTTTTCCAGAGGCTACTGAAACACCAACAAAATTTGAGAGGAGGGGGGAAAAAAGTTTAAAAATTTGTCAGATGGGAATTTTCTTATGTTTCATAAGGCACAAGGAAATTATGAAAAAAATAAATAAATAAAAAAGTATTTTATCAGTTTCTTTTTAAAAAAAAAAAAAAAAAATGTCTACTTATCTATCAACATAAAAGAATGAGTAAACATTTCTCTAGAAACAAAAAAAAAGCAATAAACCCAAACATGGATAAATGTGTCTACGGTCACTGTTTTTTTTTTTTTTTAACTACCTCCACTCTTCAACAATGTTTGTTTTAAAACGCTATGATTAGAATAAAATCTAAACATATGATGAAAGTGAATTTATAAATTATTTTTGTTCTTGTGAATTTAAAATAAAAATATTCAAAACTATTTATTTATTCATTAGATTGTTTATTTACAAGAATAATTTTATATATACAACATTCTAAAAACTAATACAATTAGAACCAATTCAATGCAATATTTATCATTTACCAATTTATCAAGAAATAAATGTGTAAACAATTTTTTTTTCGTAAATTTAAACTTTTACTAAATTATTAAAATATGTGCCCCAACTATAAGGAAACCCTTATTATTCACCATTTTAAAAAGTTTTAATCAATTGGTAATTAGCTGATGTTTTGCCAACCATTCCAACAAATAATATAATGAATAAATAGCGTAAATAAAAAAAATCTAATAAATAAATAAATAGTGTTTATTACTTTTATTGTCACTTCTCAAGAACAAAGAAAATTCACTTTCATATGTTTAGGTTTTATTACAATTCTAATCATCACTTTTTAAAACAAACATTGCCAAAGAGTGACAGTAGTTGCAATAAAAATGGCGTCATGGTAAAAAATGTCCTTTTGGCATTGTCTTATTGCTGGCACATTTATCCATGTTAACAAAAAAACAAAACAAAACAAAAATAAACCAGATGAGAGATTCTATGTAAGAATAGTGAGTGCAAAATACAAGTGAGGGAAACATGAAAGTAAATGACGATAGGGATTTCAGTAAATTTAATTATAAAAAATACAATCATTGATTAAAAAAGAAAATGACTTCTTGTTTTACATGTTACTTTTGAGAATTTATCTCCACGTCATCAATATTTTCTGAACATTTTTTCTTAGCTACTTCTTACTTGTTTTGTCATATGTAAGAGAATTGTGTTGTTTCTGACATCAACATTTCTTTACTTTCAACTGAACAAAGTATGTACAGACTTACAAACAAATCAAGCAAAAATACATTATCACCTATGAGGAAATCAAAAATCCTTTCATCTTTAAAGTTCAAAAATAATTTAAAATTATTTTTGCTGAAGTTGAACTATAATCCATAGTTAAAAAAATAAGAAAAAAAGAAGAAGATGCGTTATTTACCCTTTGGTGGTGAGGATTCCTTTCGATTTTGTAAATAATATAGCAATTGTTCAATCTCAGGCAACTTATTTGGAGAAATTAGTTTGCATTTGTCAATAATTTCCCGAGACAAAGCAGAAAGATCTGTGTTTTCATTCAAGTTTTTCACACGTATTCTGCAACCAAATAAATCAGACTTTAATAATAAGGTGCAGTTATTCAACATTACTTGAAGGCAAGCAGAAAATAAAAGAACATTGAATCTACTGATCCATATTTTCTTTTGTTTTTCTTTAATACTTTCATCCAAAGCAAGGTAATAAAGCTTAAAAGGTAACTTAGTGTGAAAGAATCCAAGAAAAAACATTAAGTGAAGTCAATAAAAAACAGGATTTAAGTAGATGAATGATGACAATTGACAATGCATTTAAATTTTTGAAGATCAAAGTTGTATGTCAACTTTGATCTTCAAAAAAAAAAAAAGCAAAAAGCTGGAAGAGAGTTCCACGAGTGAGAAGTGCGAGAGAAGAAACTGTTAGCATAAATTATATCTAGTAATTTTAACTGTAAAATGATGAGACCTTGCCACCAATCTAGTACTGTGGTTAAATTCATAATGTCAAGGTACCATAGAGGAAAGTTCATCATCAGAACAATTATCATGAAAATATTTATAGAAAAGACACATGGAAGCTATGTTACAGCAGAGGGCAAGTGACTGAAGCCAAAGTGCAAGGTCAGGATTAATAACATTGTATATTATTCTTTGAATTTTATCAAGAATTTCTAAATACATAGCAGAAACACTAGACTAAATGTAGCAGCAATATTAAATGCAGAGACCAATGGTAGACTTATAAAGGTGTAAGATATATTCTGGCAAGAAAAAAAAATTGTCTAGCACAACACAGTGAACCAATTTTCCTAGCAGCAGACCTAGCAATTGATTCAATATAATCTTTCCACTTTATGTCAGTGGAAAATGTCAGCCCAAGAAGGTGCAATAAGTCACTCTCCTGGAAATTAGCATCAGCCATGCTGATGGGCAGCAAAAAAGGTTCTCCAAGGTAAAAAGAGAACAGTTTAATTTTGGGTGCATTAAAATTAACAAGCCATTTCTTGCCTCAGTTAACAATAGATTGTAGGTCATTTTTGAGATCAGCTGCACATCAGACTTACCATCAAGACAGGAGTAAATAATTTATGTCATCAGCATAGATATCTAGTTGAAAACTGATGACATTGGGAAGTTAAGATTAAAGGTAAGAAAATGATGTTTTGCAAAGTACAGATTTAGTAATTGGAATATTTTAAGTATATTCGGTTATTATCAACAGAGACATAGTTGACACATTAATTAGGTTAAGTGAATTTCTACCAAATAATCAATTAGTATTAATAGATAAAGATCTGCAGAAATTTTTAACAAATCCTAAAAATCAATTAAAAAAAAAAATAAAAAATAATTGGAGATGAAATATGAACAAAATAGGAGAGAAGTATATAGCTATCAGCCAAGCATAACAATTCAATGTGAATAGAATTAACAAAAATTTATCCTGATGATCTTTGGAAGAAAAGGATTTTTTATCATGATTATTCATAAAACTTTTTGTTCAACAAAAACTTGACTGTAACATAATTTATAAGTTCTGGACTCTCTATGTGAAACATGATACAGTGGTAATGTACCACACCAATAACTGGCAAATGCCTGTTTTTCAAAATGTAAGCAGAGATTTAGTTGTGAAAAGAACTTTATGTAAATGAAAGCAAAAATATGAATTATTGTTGTAATTTACAATTTCTGAGCATATTTTAGTCAGCATAATGTGTATATCAATAAGTCCTAGATGAGAAAAAAAAAAAAAAACTCTTTTTCAACATATTCTCCTCCTTTCTCAATACACTTAACCCAGTGCTTCTTCATGAATAAAACATTATGCAGTGAAAATTTCAGATTAAAATTTTCGGCTAATAAATGTGTCAAGCTACATATTTACTGATTTACACTTGTAACAAGTTATGCCAAGATCTTGTACAAGGGTAAATCAAAGAAGGGATCTTAAAAATTCTGATGTCATTTTTAGTGAGATATTTCAGTGTCCCCCACACTATAGACTAAAATACATATAGTTGATAGAATTTCAGTTAATGAAATAATGGGTTTTGAATAGTTGTTGTTGTTGTTTTTATTATTTATAAAAACAAAAACACTTTCTTTTTAACCATTGACATTTCTTTCTCTAATCTACCGAATCAGGTTAGTATAAAATATAGTTTAAAATATTATATTGTCAATATAGCCATAAATATTCTTAAAATTTCAAAAACTGAATTTTGAACTTTAAAAGTAGCTATAAATTGGTACAAACTATTCAAATGAGAACTTAAAAAGTTTCAACCTGACTGAACTGCTTTTAAAATCTCTTAAAGTATTGATGGAATAGCATTTATCAAATAAACAACTAATGTTGCTTATTTTTAGTACATTTTCATCTTCTGAAAGAGAGAAAAAGAACACTTCAGATGTAATGCCTAGTCAGTGGTAACCACTAATGTATGAGTTGTTGGCCCTAGACAGTGGTAACAAATTATGTCACCCAGTTGTTGGTCTCTGAGTTCCTTCAGATTGCCGTGGTTGCCATTTAGCTGACTATTCACTCATTGTCACTGGTATCATGTTGGTGGCATGGTTCCACTCAACTAAGCTGACATTTATCTGTTCATGGCCCTCTGCCATCATGTGTTTTTGATCTCAGAGCATGAGAAGATCGTTGATGAAGCAAAACTGAAGTGAAGACAGTTTGACAATTTGGAGCTACACAAGAAAAACAAGAATCCTTTAGAATAAAGAATTAACTCTGGTTAAAAATGTTACAATGATTTGGTTTATATAGGATTTGTTGTATACAGTGATTCTAATCCTTCTCATTTGTTATAATCAAATGACACTGGGATCCCCTTCGGAGTATGCAGCTTGTTTTAGTAGTAACTTAAATTTCTAAGTTCTCGTCTTCATATCCAGCACAAGGTCTTTGGCCAGGAGCTCTCTCTGTATCTCTTCTCCACTCAACTAAACTATCTGCACTGTTTCCAAGTCCAAAATCTCCAGCTTATATGGAGTCCTGCCTCCAGCAAGGGTAGGGTTGACTAGGATCTGGGTTTAGTTGTCTGCTACCCTAAGTATGAACCTTTTTCAAATTTCCATATAGAAAAATACACTTACTCAAGTGGTTTTCCAAATTTGTCCCCCCTTTTGAAAGTGGTTAGAGAAATTAAGCCAACCCTAAACTCCTACTCTCTCTTACACCTTGTCTTCATACTCTCACTTCTATATAGGAAGTGCTAATCTTTCTCTCTCTCTCTCTCTTTTTTTCTTCTTCTCCCACTTTCTCCCTTCTCAGCAGCCAACCTCAGCATGCTTCCAGATGGTATAGTGAAAACAAAAGGGATTTTCAGTCATTAAGCTTTTCTTTATCAGCTTGTCCCATGCTGTGATTTCTTTAGATTGATCAAACTACTCAAGAATTGGAGAAAGAAAATTCCATTTCTACTCTTCTTAAAATTTATCTTTTCTCTGTTTTTATGATGATTAGACCACACAGTTTTTTTGTCTGATGGTCACTTCAAAATAGTAATAAATTTTTCCTTACTACTTTTATCCAAAGAAATCTGAGTTAATGTTTGGATATAAAAATTTTCTCCAGATGAATCTCTCCAAAATTATCTTTTCTTTTGGGTGGTTGATTTGAAACATATGATTTTATTTTATCTGATGCTATTTCGCTGACCACTATAATCAACATATGTTTTTATTTTATCTGACATCTTCGGAGATACCTTAATGGTCTCTTTCTTATTGGTGGGATATGGGGAAGAACCACAGACTTGGGTTTGTTCAAACCTACTGAATTTCCTATTCTCCTTGAAATTATCTCAAAACATGATTTTTCAATGCATTTTTTTTTCTAATTTTCTTCTCAACTTTTCAATTCATCTTCTTGCAATTTCAACAGTCATCATCCTGTTAGTAGACTCTCTCCTATTCCTTCTTTCTCACTTTTTCTTTTGGTTTGATCTCAGTGTCACAGAGACAACAAATACTACTTGAGAATATTTCTATTCCACCTTCGCTTGCTATAATAAAAATAGTTGTAATAGCAAAACTATGTTGATAACACAGTTAAGTCATAGGCAAGCATTTTTTAACAAAATACTTTCCTTGTATCCAGGTTTGAAAATTAAAAGGCAATGATTTCGTATTTTACCTACAAGATAGAGATGAAAATGTTAAAGAGAACAGTGTAGAATAAAAGCTGGAGCAAGAGATTCAAATGATGGTTTTTAGAATGAAGTTGGCTTAATTTAAATTCTATTTTTGCTTTATTATTAAAATTAAGCAAAGTTTAATCTTAGCATCGATTTGTGATGAGAATTAATTGTGCTCTAAGTGAAAAAAAAAAGTTAAATTAAAAAAACAAATGTAAACATTTTCACTGGGAAAATATAATGCATGGATTTGAAGGAAATGTTTATTATTGTACTCTCATATGCAAATCATTTTACAGCAGGGAATATCAGCCTAAGATGCATTATTTCAGGTTTCTTGTATCTGTTGACACAATGCATCAACAGTTATAGGTTGGTTAATTGGATAAGTTAGAAGTCGTTCCATCATCTCCCATACATGTTCAATGAGGAACAGGTCTGGTGAATGTTTTGAGTAAAGAATGTTGAGTAGGGAATGTTGACAGACATTATCCTGCTGGAACAGCACACTGTTTATTCTGGACATTCCATTTATTTCTGCATATAAGATAACCTTTTTAATCCCCAAAATCACCCTTAAAAATTGGGAGGGTCATCTTATTCTACAATTTAAAAAATAAACCTTAAATTCCAAGTGACGTTTGTTGGTAGGCTAACCCTAGCCTCGGTGTGATAACCAATAACGTACGTGAAAAGATTCCCCGTTATCAAATAAACTGATACTAAAAGTAGTAAAACAATTTCTACCTTATATATTACTGGCATAACTTCATAATAAATTGCCTATTCAAAGAATAATTCCATATCAATGAAATCAATTTGTATCTATGCAAGCTCAGCTGAGAAAATGTAAACATCAAGTTATGATTGCATTCACAGCAATGGAATGTACTATTATCATACTGTTATTAGCAGTATTTTGTGATTGTCAGTGAAGTATAAGGAAATGTCCTTTAGTAAGTATACCAGGCTGTTTGTAACTATTTTGATATGGGAAAAAATAGAGGAAGAAAAAGAAAAATCAGTATTGGCAAGGATCACATGATGAAATCTAAACAAAATAATAGTTTCCCTTTTAAGGGACATGTATAAGAAAAACATGATATAGAATCAATTTTGGTATTTCATTTATTTTGAATTTCTAAGGACACAGTAAGTAACATTTCCAATAGCATCATCTTTATATAATAAATAAGCAGTCATCTTATACTACAGGTATAGGATAAATTCATGAAAATTTACTATATATATATATATATATATATATATATATATATATATATATATATTTTTTAATCAGGTCTTATCTAAAGGTTGCCTTATATGCAGAAATATACAATAACTGATGTTCAACATTTGCTCCATAAATAGTGACAATTGTAACTTAAGGTACCATATGGCATGATGCCAATTGTTGGATCTTGGGGTTGAGAGATGTTGCTCTCTAGCTCTTATACACATAAGCAGCCATTACTTGCATGAGGGAAGACCCTGATCTCAATACTGAATACTACAGAACACTACTCAATCCAGCAGGTGATCTTCTCTGGAGATGTACACAATGGTATTATAGCATAAGTGGAATGAAAGTTTGTCATCGATTTACTCCTCTTAATCTCAGGACTGTCTAGAAAGGTTTCATCAAACTCTTCACACTATATTAAAAAAAATTATTGTATGGAAACTGTTCCTGATTAGAATGAAAATATATTCTACTAGTTTTCAAAAATTTCTCCCAAGAATCATTAGGTCATTCTTATGTTCATTATATACACAATAAATGCGGTACTTGTTGAAAGTTTTAAAAGAAAAATGATTCCAAAACTAGTCTTGTCATTCTAAAATAACTATGTGCCAATATCTTGACAACTTCAAAAATAAACTTTCACAAGTAAGAAACAACTATAGCTAAAATTCAAAAAGGTTAAACTGAAATGAAAACCAGATACGATACAAATCTTATTTTGTAAACTTGCTTCTGGAAATAAAGTTCTTTTTCCTCTCTATATTTGGGAATCCCTTAAAAAGCAAATTTACATGTTCTGATATCATTTTCCATAAAGTTTCAAACTTAATCTATGTAATACATACTCCTGATAGTTGCAAGAACTCAGTATATATATATATCAATATGTTGAAAGAGGATTTGCAAACTTCACTCATGATATTTGAGGCTGATGTTGAGAGAACTGAGGAAAAAGTTCCAGGTACTTCAAAGACAAATCCAACTAATTCAGTATGGCTTCTTAACATATCCAACAATCTTTATATTTACAATTTCAGTAAATGGGGTACATTGCTAATCTATTGCAGTCATTTCTCATGGTCAGTTCCAATCTGCTAGGAAGAATGTTCCATCATGAAACTCCTTCCATGAGAACTCTCTCTCTCTCTCTAATAAGACAACATGTTTATCAAGTTAAGCCTAGAAAATAGAGAGCTACAAAGGCAGAAATTAATTATTTATTCTAAAATAATTTGGCAAAGCCAAGTAAAGCTCTATGAGTTTCCCTGTATGTTAGTCCCAAAGCTCAAGGACTCTTAAAGTAAATCAATATAACAGTACCTTTTACTTTTAATTGAAGATTAACTAAAGCTCCTGTCATATTACAGAAAAGTGATAAATTATGTCATACAAGGACCAGCAGGATTAAGTGCTTTATTTGGATGATGATGTAATAATTTCAGATAATTTGGTGGAATAGATATCCAGACTAACTACTCTCCCTCTCTTGGTCTCACAATGAAGTGACAAGCAACTAAAAGATGAAAAATTCACCCAAATTGATCATGTGTCTCATCTAATGAAAATATTATTTGCCATATCATAAAAAAAATTCAACTTGGAACCAGTTGGCAAGTTTAAGTTTAAAAAAGCTGTGGCCTATAACAGACTTAAAATTTTCTGCTTACTTCAAACTTTGAATACAACAAATTCTGCAAAAACCTTGTAACTAAAGAGGGACCATAAGCTTTCTGCTAACAACTACCACAAACTCTTTAAAACTGAGGAAACAGATTGCTACACTATCTTTGGATTTTACTGATCTTACCAGTCCACAATCCATATTTTTTCCTTGGTTGTTGTTAGTGCAATTGGTACTTTTCACCGAAATTCCCCTTAATTTTACTACAGCCAATGTCCTATACATTTGTTTCCTTGACAAACAGAACAATATATGTGTATAAGTGGATAGCAAATATATACTTTGATAAAATGAATAAATATTTGGATTGCTTACATCTTTTGACATTCTTTTCTTTCTCCAAGCATTGGATCACCAAGCTCTCCTAAGATAGTAGCTTCCAATTCATAATTGACCACCAAGGCTTTCTCTGTAGGATGGACATCAATACTGCCACACTTGACTTTCCTAAAACAATAAAGAGATAAAGAGCTTTTAAGCATTTCTTTAAAAGAGAGAATTTTGAATAAAGATCAGGAATTAAATATTTCTTAAATGACATGGTATTAAATTTTTCATTGATAAATCACAATAATTTCAGCATTAATTTCTTTTATGAAGGAACTATACAACAATTATTACCACATTTTAAATATTCAGGGGAATGTTTTGACAATATTTGAATAAAAATTACAAAATGAGCAAATTAAAAAAATTAATATTTAATTTGAGCATTTACTTAAAAAAGAATAATAACCAATTTGAAAATAACCCTTGTGTTTGAGGCATCTGAAAAACAAAATAAAAAAATGGCTAAAACAAACTACAGTAAAGACATTTTTCTCCATTCACATTTGATAATTTTATGTAATGAATTGACAGAAATTAAATTTTTCAAAAGAATTTAATAAATGGTTTATACAAATAGAAGATTTCATATATTTTTTCTTTTCAATACAAATTTTCTTTAATTCTTAATACCTTGTAATTTGCTATCCTATTTTCTATAAAGTTTTTCCCATAAATATTTACAGCTTACCAGGTCCTTTACTTCTTGATAATCAGAACCACTGATTGAAAGGAGGAGAAAATTTAAAGTGCATAAGATCAAAGGATTGGAAGTTCATAACCACAGTTACAGCTTGTTTCTCTATTCAAAAAACTGTAAAGCATTTTTAAAATCCCTAAGTGTTCTTACAGTGGAGTAATGGATAGCGGCTCAGATTGAGAAATCGAGAGACAAATTTGAATTCCATTCGAATCCATTACATTCCCTAACGGGCTAATACCCTTGGGAAAGGTAAGAATCCTCTTCTTCTCCTTTCAGCTATGGGTAAATAGCAGGACAGGCCAGGTTCTCTAGCCTTGGATGGCAACTGGTCTACTGCAGAAAGAAATAGCAACCTACTGTGGGAAAAAATCTGCCTCATCAGTCATGTATCAAAAGATACATGATCGCCTAAGTGTGAATCACACATGGCACATAACTGACTGAAGTGCGCTTTGCATGAGTAGAATAACTGACCTTTTTGTTAAATATTTGACAAAGACTGTCATGAAAAAATGAGCAGATTATTCATATTCTGTTCAGAACAGATGGCAAATACCTTTTAAGTGTTTATATAATCTTTAGCATAACTAAAAACTTTATGATGAAAAGTCAAGCTTCATTACAGAAAAATATTTGAATCATTTTTGTTAATTATAACTAATAATATTTTACTTGTAGTATGAATACCAATACTCTGTTATAAAGGACAGGGATGATAACCTAAGTAAAGGCATTAGTTTTCCTAGATCAGTAATGTGGACACAAGCTGTTGAAATAGGGTGGGCTAATTTGAGGATTTCAATTGATATTTCACTACTATTAATATATACCTCTTATAAATAGTAGAGAAAATAAAGGCTCCTCAATACCTATGAGTGGTGAAGAGTTAGTAATGCATGTACAAATAATAGTTAACAGGATTAATCTGTATTTACATGTGGACCCTTATCCTCATTTTTGCTGTTATTATCACACAGGATAATAACCTAGTGGATTAAAGCTTTGGTTCATAAATTTGGTGATATAATAATTGTAAACTCAATCTCTGGGCAGTGAGCACTTGAACTCAGTGGAAATAGGTCAAGCAATAACTGAGCAGTTCTAAATAGGAACTAGACAAGATCTCCAATCACAGTCAGTGAGGTGATAACAATATACCCTCATAGATTAAATAAAGGCTTTAGCTTGAAATTCTCTAAAAGTTACCCAGATCAAAAAAAAAGACCTGATGAAGGCTGGCGGGCACATTATTGTTATTAGCATGTTTCAGCCAAAGATGAGTTCAATCGTCTACATGTAAATAATAAAACTTCATACCAGAAATTCAGACAGGATTAATCTTTGTATAAACAGTTTCATTTCTATCAGATCTTGTAAAGATGAGAAATCAATATTTTTCTTTTTATGGTTTCTTTTTGTGCAATAAAATGTTAGCTCCAAATAATTGTTGGAGTTAGTAATAAGAATTTTTTTCATTCCTTTTTTTAAGAAAATAAAAAAAATTGAAAACAATAACAAATTATCAAAGCAGAGTTTAATTTAAGTTGAAATTTTTAGATGAAAAATTATTATATGTCTATATTCAAATTAGTATTCTTATCTTGGTTGTTATGTTATGCTACAACATTGTAACCTATAACCTTCTTTGGGTGTCTGTTGTACTCAGTAACCTTGAAATTTTGAACTTCACCCTTTATTCAAGCAACAAGAGTAGATTGTTCTAATTTTGCTTTTCATACTAAGAGAAGAATATCTTGCATCAGTCAATACTCGTCAATCTTAATTGGAGGCTTGCAGATAGTAAGAATTTCTATACTAGATTTACTAAGGAGGTTGTCAAAAAGCCTAACATGTGCACCGATTCTTTCACTTGCATTCTTCTATTGATTTTGTCTATGTAGCAAATGAGTCGACTTAAACAGTGTAAGGGACGCAACTCTTTCCGTCTGAAAATGTCTGACACGCTGCAACGCAAAACGATGTACACCAAGCACGGGTGAAATGTTGGTCTGCCAATGTCTCCAAGCAACCTGCTTTTATGGAGCCCAGACACACCTCATTAGCATGTGTGTAACGCGACTTTGCGTGACTGCACGAGACCGTGAATATTAAAAGTCACGGACGCCATTTTGAATCTTTTCTTTCCTTTCTCAACCCACAGGCCAGGCAGATGCGAGAACGTTTGTGAGGTAGGCCGTTTCTATTTTCCCCACAGTCTATATTTCTGAGATGAGGTATTATGTACACTACTTACATTGTTCGAACTATTGTCCTCATCTTTGTCACCATATTTATTACAACGTTTCAGCCATTGTACGCTCCGGCCTTCTTCAGGTGGTTGGAATGTTGAACTGAACCCTTTATTTTGCTCAATGGGGTAGACTGTTCTAGTTCCACGTGCCAAGTCTAGTGGATGTTAGTTATCAGTTATCTCCTGTTAATTCCCCTCTCAAAGTTCTCCACCACCTTAACCAAGTATTGAACTCACACTCTTTGGGTCCTGTCACTGGATCTAACTAACACCTTGAGGACACATGGCACAGTGGATAAAGCTGTTAGTTAGATCCAGTGACAGGACCCAAAGAGTGTGAGTTCAATACCTGGTTAAGGCAGTGGAGAACTTGGACAGGGGAATTAACAGGAGATAATTGACATCCATTAAACATGGCACGTGGAGCTAGAACAATCTACCCCAGTGAGTGAAATAAAGGGTTCAGTTTGACATTCCAACCACCTGAAGAAGGCCAGAGAATATGATGGTCAAAATGTTGTAATAAATATGGCGACAAAGATGAGGACAATAGTCTGAATAATGTAAATAGTGTCTTCTATTGATTATCTTAACTTCATGTACACCGGAGTTGATGACCACTCTTTCCGTTCCATACAAGATCAGCCAATATCTGATTTCAGATTACAGTCTTTCAATGTATGTTCCTTCATAGTAACATCATTACTAAAATATAACATGGGGATAAAGGGTATCTGAAAGTTTCTGATTAAGAAAGAAATAACATTAAAAAAGATTCCACCAGCAGTGTACAAATATTGGGTATCTTTCTTTTTTATACGCAGTGTCCTTTCAGAACATAGACAATCATGGCTCTCCACTTCCCCCTATCCCTTGTGGCTCCCAATAAGTTTTGTGCCTCTGCCAACTCTCCCAGACCATGTTCTGCCATATACTTGCTTAAGCCCACCAGGTATGTCATGTGTTGCTTTCCCTCGTCTCATTTACCCTCTATTTGACTTGTGTGTATCAGATTCTCCAGACCCTCCTTTCTCATTGTGTCCCAGAAATTTCATTTGCCTCTTCCTCCTTCTGTAGAACCACATCTCTGCTGCCTTGAGTCTCTTCATCTTTGAGAGCACCGTCCAACATTCGCTGCCGTATAGGACAGATCCATCTTTGGATCTCAGCATTGCACCTACCATCTTCTATCGAAACACTTCCCAAATACTTAAACTTCTGCACATGCTCGATTTTACTGTCTCCAACCTGCATATCGTATTTCAGGCTCATCCTCTTACTGATGACCATGCATTCTGTCTTCTTGTAGTTTACAGTTAGTCCCTTCTTCTAACTCTACCTTGCTACCTTCTGTAGGAGGTTTTGTAATTTCTTTTCTGTGTCTGCTATCAGTACTGTGTCATCTGTGTATCTTATATTGGTAAGATTATGACTGCCAATGATGAATCCTGGTAGGATCTCCAATTCTTTCAAAACTGCTTCACTGTATAGGTTGAATAAGTCTTACATATAACAGGTCAGTGATCATTCCCACAGTCAGCACTTGGGTAGGTTTTGCAGTGAATGCTTGCATTCCTGAAACTTTTGTTTATATATATGTAGTCTGGATTGTCCAAGAGACATAAGGTTAAAACATAATTACTCTCTGGCATTTATGAGTACAATCCTTGTGTTGGATAGTGGAGAAACTGGCAAGCAACACAAAGACAAATAGACTGGTGAGTATTAAATTATAGCAGATAATCCACTTTCCATGCTTAGGAGATGGGAAGAATCTATCCTCATGAATCAAATAGTTTGGTTCCAAGTAATTCCAAGAAGCTTACTAAATACAACAGACACTTGATGAAAGCTGAAGAGTGAATGGGCCAAAATTGTGTGAGAATAAGAACCAAGCTGAGTAAACTCATCTGAGTGGAAAAGAATACGAGTTTGTTTCACATATACTGTTTACACCTTATTTGCAAATTATATCAGTGTCACTTAATATCAATTACATAAACAGTAAAGTATAATGAAAATGATAGATCTGTATATTTGAGTAATTAAACAAAAAAACATTTTATACTATGAAAATTTACTTCAGTTTGCAGTTAATTCCAATTACAAATAGTTGCTGGCCATTGTGATGCCATTTCTGATGGCAATATATGAGAGGGGTGCTGA